CTCTGATGATGGTGAGATTACAGACTGAAGGAGAGGTTCAAAAGGGGGTTTGGCAGATGGGAAGTGCCCAGAGCCAAAGTGCTTACACTATAGGAAACACCGAGGGACAAGCGATTTTGGTCACAGCGGTAATGTAATGTAGCAGTTAATTTGGTGAGCAGTGATGGGTTTTATTATTCTTTCTCAGGGAGAGTACAGGTGGGACCAGAATGGGAATCGAATGGATGTCAATGACTGGTGCTGGATTTAGGGATGACAGAGCTGCCATCTGAAGGTGGCACGACTTGTCCATTATGACTTAGTCCTCCCACCCCATTCTGTTTGTAAGTAGCACACTTATTCAGTCCTTTTTATCTATGTTCAACACACTTATGGTCCTTTTATTGGATCTATTTTTAACACACTTCACAGGTTTCTACCTTGCTCTATTTTTAAAATGTAAGAGCTTCATCTACCTCTTGTTTTTCTTGCAGAGTCGAATGTTCTAGCAGAGTTGAATGTTCTTAAGTAATATGGCAAACATAAATGATAGTGGTTGAATATGGAAGTACAGCATTCATTGTAGGTTCTCATTATTGTGTTTCATGGATTGCTCTTTCAACTCCTGGAAAAAAAAGCCAGCCTGCTGCAAAGTAGGTGACGTATCACTCTTTTCAGTGATCGACAGCTTCATGTCGTATGGTAAATTGGAAAATCAACAGAGGAGAAAGTTATAGACGCTGGGTGTTTTGTAAATGGAAAACACCCTCAGGATCCTCTTTGCTATGTGGCTTAGAGCAGGATAAAGTGATGAACGGAAATGAAGGTTGGGTAGGAAAGAGCTCGGAGATCATGGAATTCAATCCCCTCCATTTTCAGATGTGAAGTGTGACTTCCAAAGGAAGGTGTCATCCAAAGTCACACAGATAGTTACCTGCAAGATCCAGAGCAGTCTCAGGCCCGAGAAACCTGGTCCAGTGTTTTTGCCTCTGTATTGTAAGAAAGAGTGGGATTACGCGCATGTGTTCTTTTAGCAGCTGAGTTATGATAAACATTTACTTGAAAGGGCTTTTCTGAAAATGAGAATGCACATAAAGTCTCAATGTATCAAAATAGATGTTTCTTACATTTCACTCTAGCGAGTGCTAATGGGGTCTTTTTACTTCAGCGTGCCAATCATTTATAAAGATAAATGAGAAAAGGCGGCATAAGAAATGCTCAGTTTTCTTGGAGGGTTGGGGAGCAGAAGCGTGGTAGGATGGGATCAGCCTGTTGGGTGGGGTGTCCTGTAAAGAGGGGGGACTGAATTGGCACCACGCATTTTCTTTCATGTGCTGCCACTGGCATTTGAGGATGACCCATTTATCTCCTGGGTTTTCAAAAGGAACCATCCTGTTTTATGGCCATTGACTACCATGTGGTTATTTGAAGTAACAGTACAAATGAGAAAAATAAATGGAAAGTACATTAATTAATTCAACAAATTGTTGCTGGGTGACTCTTTGGTACCAGACACCGAGAACTGTGGATTTTATGATGAATAAGTGCATGTGCCTTCAAGTCTAGTGGGGAAAGAAAGGCAATAATAGAAAGCAAGAAACATGAAACAAGATTGTGATGGGCGTATAAGGAAACAATAAACCCATCGTATCACATTTATTATAACAAATTACGTGGAGAAAATAAACAGAGACCTTAATGGAGAGCATGGCCGTGGGCTGCACTTGCAGTGAGAGCTGAATGTGAAGGAGGCGCAGGGAGGCAGGCATGTGACCGGGTGGGAAGAGAGAACTATGGGCAGATGGAAGAGCATGAAGATGGGAGTGGGAGGGGTCTTGCTGTGCTCCTCTAGCAACAGAGGAAGAGAGTATGAAATCTGGTGAGAGGGGCAGGCAGCCATCAGTTCGTGTGTGACTGCAGGCCAAGCTACAGGGGTTGGATTGTATTTTATGCGCTATAAGAAACCACTGGAGCATTTTAAGCAGGAGGCCGAAATGATCTGGGTTTAAGATGTTTATTTTTATCTTTTTAATTTGCCAGAGGAGATCACTTGCCAGAAGGAGATGAAGAAGAGGGCAAAAGCACCTTCTAATGGGGTGTGGTCTTGGTGCAATTCCTTTTCCTCCATTTCTCCATTCTGTTGGGATTTTCAGTCCACTTATATGTGTGCCTGTGGTTTTTTTTTTATATTTTATTTTATTTTATTTAAGCCACTGCTTCTGTAGGATTTTAACTGCATGGTCAGCCATGTGGGGATCCAGCTCCTTCAACCAGTAGGCCATGGGACTGGCCTTAGATTTATGATTTAGAAAGTACTATGGCTGGGTATAGAGAATGGAGAAGCAGCAGTATGGTAACAGAGACTAGTTAGGAAACTATCAGAGGTGATCTGGGGAACAATGACTGTTGTTTAGGTGAGAGCCAGAAGAGGAGAGTTGGGAAGAAGTAGACAGATTCCAGACATGGGAGCTTTCATGACTCACTCTTAGATTGAACATGGAGAATGGAAAAATAGGAAGAATCAAGGACAATTCATAGGGTTTTTTATTTTTTTCCTCAAGGAATTGGATATTACCTGTTTAAAATTGACATGTGATAATTATATGTATTTGTGGAAAACATGTGATTTTTCAGTATAAGAATATAATGTGTAATGATTAAATCAGGATAATTAGCATACCCACCATCCCCACCATTTGTCATTACTTTGTGTTGGAAATGTTCAAACCCTGTTTTTTGAGTGTTCTGAGATACATAGTGAATTATTTAATTGTTAATTATATTCACTGTACTGTATTTTATAACACTAGAAGTCATTCCTCTTAATCTGTTATTTTATTTCCATTAACCAACATCACTTATGCTTCCTCCACTAAATCCTCCCTAGGTTCTAGTAGCTATTCTTCAACTCTCCCTCTATGAGATCATCCTTTTCCATTTGCAAAGACTTAGAAATCTAGAAGAAAATTGAGTTTGGAGAACTAGAACTTCATTGTGGGCACATGCAACTTGAAATTCTTACTCAATATTCACATGATGTTAAGTAGAAAATGGATAATATCTGTGCGCAGAAAAGTTCCCATTTAAATTGGGAGGTCACTGGGCATGGGCCTGAGTGATGCTACCCAGGGAGGAGTGAGAGGTTGAAGACACACATTCCTGTTACGATACTCATACTTCTTTCCTTGAGCAAGCATTGCTGGTCAATCATAGCCCACTTTTCATTGGGCCCAAGCTTCAGAATCCTGTAATGAAATCTCTTGAGGCAGCCATCACCAATCATTTGATTCCTAACTGATGAGTAAAGAGGGAGAAAGAAAAAAAAAAGGTAATTTCAAGCGCCATTTTATTTCTGTCACTAAACTCCAGGTGGCATTTATTATGAGAATCTTTGCCTAGTAGTAATATTAATGAAAATACTGTTAATAAATATTTGCTAATATTCTCTAGTTTACCAAGTGATTTGTTCATATATCTAATAGGTTTTTAATGATCTTGGAAAGTCTTCATCTAGGATTTTGTAGAAGTTCTAGAAGCATTTGAAGTGGCTATCTATTTCAGCCTGTGACAAAAGCTGACAGCTTGTCACTTAACAGTAAAGCAGCCCTTTTGTGGGTAAAAAAAGTGTCCTGCAGGTAGGTTTTACACGGCACAGTGGTCTGCTTGGGTTGGATGCCTCCATGACAGGGACCAGTCTTGGTTCTGCCATCTATAGTTAACTTTCACAGCCAGAAAAAAAACGAGGTGTTCTTCCTGTGCTGTGGACTTGAAGCAGCAATTCGTAGAATTATGGAGACCACCAAGCTGGAAAGACTCTGAGAGAGCACCTAATCCACCCCCTCATTTTGCAGATGAGAAGACTGAGCCTCAAGGTCAAGAATCCAGGAATTCCTTTTTTAGAAGTCACTCTCTGGGGAGAGATTTTCAAGGTCCATACACAAGCCTCTGATGCAGCTTGGGCTACACAATCTTTGAAGTTCTGCATTTTTCAAAGGCTCCTCACACAGTCCTGGAGTAACAACCAAAACATTTTTATATAGTCAGAGAAGGGGATCAGGATGTGAAAGGAGACTGAGACTGCCGAGCGCATCTTTGATGTTCATTTATCACCCCGCGGATAGTCTTCTCTGACTGTTCCCTCAGTGCCCCTTTCTGATGCCAGGAAATGTAGCATAAAATAATGAGATAACACCCAGTTTATTGGGACAAGGGCAAGTCTGGGTATGAAGTGATAGATATCTCTCATTATGTCGATGTTGGAGAGAGAAGGATTCCTGTCCAGCAGCAGGATTAGCTGGACTAATAGACCTCCAAGCCTGCTAAATTAGCCTCCACTTTAATACATATTTCATGAGAAAAGTCATTCACTTCATGTTTAGAGAAATTCCAGGCACGCTTATAGGTCACGAGCATGCCTTGTATTTATTCTTCAAGCAAAGGCAGAGTTGTCTAGCATTGTTAGTCCTAGTAAATCTTTGCTAGGTACAAGGCAGGGACTGGTTTCCTAGCTTATTTGTGGGGAGAAGCAAATCCACAGCAGATCTATGGGAAAAGTCAAGTCGGAGGTTGCCGAGTGGCATTTGGGTCTCTTGAGACCCCGAGTTGTCTGAATTTAGGACCCCATTTACCTGACTGCCTTTCACCTTACTTGACGACATCCTAATCTGTTTGCATCAAACTGAGTTGCTCAGTGTCCCATCAAAATTCTTGCCAGAAAATCATTGTCTGGCCAGTTGCAAACTTGTCAACATGACAGATGGGCATGGTGACAGAGAGAGCATTTCCAGGTTGTGCATGGAATGGATGCAACCATATGAAGTAGTGATGGTGCCTGAAATGAGACTATTCACAGGAGGAGAAAGTGGAGAGCGTGTTCTGTATCCTCTGGATATGACATTTTCAACTATGGATCTGTTTTCCTCTTTCTTCTCATGTTCCCTACCTTTCTTCTGTATTTGCTCCCATTTTCCTCCTCCTTCCTTGTCTTCTTATTTCTCTTGCTCTTTCTTTTCGACTCCTAGATATAGAAAGAGAGATCCATGCAGCCCCTCATGTGAGTGAAAAATTAATTCAGCTGTTCCGGAATAAGAGTGAATTCACCTTTTTGGCCACTGTACAGCAGAAGCCATCGACTTCAGGAGTGATACTCTCCATTCGAGAACTGGAACACAGGTAAGAAAATGCTTTTTACTTTTGAAAATCTCTTTGAAGTTAATGGACTATACAAAATGGCCTTGGAATTGAGAGTCTGTAGCTCCATGCAAGCATTCAGATAGTTTTGACCTTATTTCTGTGGAGCATGCTAATGAATTTACTTTGGGCAAAGTGGCTTTCCTGTATGCTAAGGACTACTCACTAGTGTTCTTTTCACATACCTCTGTTCCTATAAAACCATTCTGTCTGTCATGTTTAGGTCATTCAGCAAGTTAATCAATTATATGTAACAACCTTCAGTAAACATACTTTTTTTTTTTTGAGAGGTTTTCGCTATAGGGCGTGTGTGCTCGCCAGACAGACAGAGACAGACAGAAAGCGAGAAATCACCCCCCCCGGGGTGATGGCCACGCCACAATCCCTTCTCCTCCATTCTTCTCTTGGGATCTTGGGCACGCACGCACACACGCCCAGCATGAGTTTTAAGCCACCGGGGCCGGGACGTGAACCGTGGTAGACTATGTGGGAGTCCAGAGCCATAGCCCTTACTCTAACTGCTAGTCCCTTCAGTAAGCATTTATTGTGTGTTTATTTTATGTGAGAACTGTACCTGACACTGAATATTAAGGTGGCTAGTGCAGGATTTTTAGTTTAAGGATGACATAAGCTTGTAGGGAGTATGGAGAAATTAATTTCATAAAGTATCAGAGATATCATATTATAAGTTTGTATTCAGGAAATGAAGTTAAGACTGGTCAGTTATACCAAGGGTTGTGGTAGTCAAGAAAGGCTTCAGAAAGAATGGTGATTGTTCATGAAAAAAAGTAAGTCGGTATTCAACAGGTTGAATGGGGAGCAGGAAGAAATGGGGAAAATAACATTGAAGAAAGAGGGTGCCATAATTTTAAGAAGGGACAAATATGTGGGTAAGTGGTTGAACCCTAAAACTGTGTGCAGAAGAAGGGATGGGAATTTGTGGCCAGTGAGCGTGGTGGTATAGAAGTATGTAGAAGCCAGATTATTGCAAGACTTTAATACCCTGTTGAAAAACTCATGCCAAAGTCTTCATGGGTAATGGGTGTTAAGTTAGACAGAGATCATTCTATTATGGAGTCCAAAGTAATGATTATTAGGTAATTTAATACATTTTAATTAATTTTCTTTTTAATGCTAGAGGAACTGTATGCACAAGAAAAAGAGTGAGAACCCCTCAATGGGGTTAGAATGCTGGATTGGGATTAAAACCAGGGTTGGCCAGGTGGAATCTGGCTTCCTTTGTACAGTATACAACCACTGTGCTATGGGACCTGCTTCATTTTTAATGTTTAATACCAGCTTCCTCTTTAGTAGTCAGTCAGTAGTCAGTTACCATAGATTTGCTGTGGATTTGCTTCTCTGCACAAATAAAATAGGAAACCAGAAAATAGCTATGAGGTACCTATTCTGTTCTAGTGCTGTGCTGGATTTGTAGG